CTTTAATGCAGAGTTCAGGATATTGCATGAAAGAAATAAGGCAATAAGAATTGCAACTCTGTGATTCAGAAGAGCCAACACTGACCTCTTTAAGAATGTATTTGGAAATATCCCAAGAGTTAGAGCATCAGAAGGTAAGGGAGGGGGTCCCAAGAATTTTGGCTGACATTTAAGTACCACTTCTTCCAAGCTCAAGATTGGTGCACTCATAAGAGTAAGAAGTAAGGCAGGAAAACATGAAGCAGCAAGAAGTTCACAAAAAAACTCAAATGGAAAAAGAAATTCTACAGAATATGGAAAAGGTATTTGGCCACATAGGAAAAATATAGGAACACTGTCATGCAGAGATGCAACGAGGAAGGCTAAGGCCCACTACAAATTAAATCTAGTGAGGGAGGTCAAGGACAATAAGAAGTTTGTTAAGTTGTAAGGTAATTAAATTGTATAAGATCATTACAGTTACATCACTGATTAAGGATGGCACATTTTCAACAAACTGCCTAATTCATTGCTTTTCCCACGTGTACATCCTCTACAGAGCCAGTAGGCCAAGTTCACAATAGGCTTTCCCAGAAACAGCTGACTTCAGTAGTTGCACTTTCCTTGGGAGAAACCTCACAATTATTCTTCAGAATAGATATGACTTTTATTTGCTTCTGAGAAAAAAAGAACAATGAGAGAAAACCCAAGTAATCATGACATCATGAGAGAATTCCGCATGACTATGCAGGTACTGTTAGCACTGAAGCTACTTCTCCCACTTGAGAAGAAACATACCCACCTCAACAGCTTGGTGCAGCATAACCTTTTATAGATACAAGAGGGTCCCAGAGTCCTTCCATCTTCTTGTTTCCACTTTGAGATGCTGTTTAAGTAGTTTAATTCCAAGTCACAACTTGCAGTTCCATAATCCAAAATAACAGTACAAACACCATTTCATACTTGAAGGTAACACCAAGTTTTAAACAAAATAGTTCAGTGCTAGAAAAAGAAATATTTGCTTATGTAAAACCAACTCCTATTTTTAGATTCTGCCTTATGGTCCTTTGTGATCTTCTTGAACAAGCCTGAGCAGAAATTAATACAGGAAAAAGGATCCAAAGCTTGTAATTTCCATCCTATCTTCTTTGAATTGCCTTTCTTTGTGTTATGTTAAACAGCAATAACAAAGTAAGAGTGATACAGAGCACTAGTCCCATAGGATTGAAAGCAGAAGCATCACAGAAGGTTTCTGTTGAACAAAGCTCAAGAAAGGTATGCTGCAGCTTCTAAGTTTTCCACTTCAAAGATTTTAGTAATCATACAGTTAAAAAAATAATTTTATCATTTTACAGAGGTATTAAACACCCTGAATAACTGAGTACAAGATAAAAGATTGCTGTAGAAAACTGCATACATTATGATGTTTGCATCCCTAAGAGTAAGAAATTCAGGAAAAGGTGGCAAGAGGCCTGCCTGGATGAGCAAGGAACTCATGGATGAACTGGATGAAAGGAAAGAAGGTCCGTGAAATGTGAAAATGTCTGTGAAACAGACTTGTCCACTTGGGAAGAATATAGGAATATTGTAAGAACTTGTGAAGATGCAACAAGAAAGATTAAGGCCCTCTTGGAATTAAAACTTGCAAATGAGGTAAAGGATAACAAGAAAGGGGTTTTTTTTTTTTAAGTATGTCAAGAGTAAAATGAAGACTAGAGAAAATGTGACTCCCCTACTAAATGAGGTGGATGCCTTGGTAACAGGGGACGCTGAGAATGCTGAATGTCTTTTTTGCTTCTTTACTGCTAAGACTAGACCTCAGGAATCCCAGTCTCTGAAGTTAGGAGAGAGATTCTGGTTAAAGGAAGACATTCTGTTGGTTGAAGTGGATCTGGTCAGGGAGCATGTAGCCAAAATCAATGCCCACAAATCCATGGGGTCCAATGGGATGGAACCACATGTGCTGAGAGAGCTGGCAGAGGTGATTCCTGAACTGCTCTTTATCACTTCTGAAAGGCCCTGGCAAATGGGAGAGATGCCTGAAGATTGGAGGATAGCCAGTGTCCACTCCAGTCTTCAAAAAGGGCAAGAAGGAGGATCCAGGAAATTACACGCCAGTCCGCCTCACCTCCATCCCTGGAAAGGTGATGAAACAGCTTGTTCTGGATGCCATCTCCAAGAAATTGGAAGAGAAGAAGGTTATCAGGAGTAGTCAACGTAGATTCACCAAGGAGAAATCATGCTTTACCTGATAGCCTACTATGATGTCATCACTGGCTGCGTAGATGGGGAAAGCATGGATGTTGTGTACCTTGACTTCAGCACCATATTCTTTGTCATGAAAGTTAGAAAAATATCATAGAATCACAAGGTTGGAAAGGACCTACAAGATCATCTAGCCCAACCATCCTCCCATCATCATTACTACTCACTAGCTGCTAAACCGTATCTCATAGCTCCTCATCGAGATGCTCCTTGAACACTGTCAGGGATGGCGACTCCACCACCTCCCTGGGCAGGCCATTCCAGTGCCTGACCACTCTCTGAGAAAGTTCTTCCTTATGTCTAATCTAAACCTCCTGTGGCACAACTTGCAGCCGTTTTCTCCGTCCCTGTTTGTTGTCTGGGAGAAGAGGCTAAACCCCTCCTCATCACAACCTCCCTTTAGGAAGTTGTAGAGTGCAGTGAGGTCTCCCGTGAGCCTCCTCTTCTCCAGACTAAACAATCCCAGCTCCCTCAGCTGCTCCTCATAAGATTTGTGCTCCAGACTCCTCATCAGTTTTGTTGCCCTTCTCTGGACATGTTCCAGGGCCTCAGTGTCTTTCTTGTAGAAACTGAACACAGTACTCAAGATGTGGCCTCACCAGTGCTGAGCATAGAGGGATGATTACCTCTCTGCTCTTGCTGGCCACACTATTTTTAATGCAGGCCAGGATGCCATTAGCCCTCTTGGCCACCTAGGCACACTGTCAGGTCATGTTCAGCCAAGCGTCAACCAACACTTCCAGATCCCTGTCCTCTTCACAGTCATCCAGTCACTCAGCTCCAAGCCTGCAGCGCTGCATATGGGATAGACAAGAGGATGGTGAGATGGTTTGAGAACTGGTTGACTGGCAGAGCTCATCAGCGACACAGAATCAGGTGGGAAGTCCATAGCTAGCTGTGTTCTCTGGCGGTTGGTGACATGTCTTACTTTGTTCAACATCTTCATCAATGACATGGATGAAGGGATAGAGCCCAGCCTCAGCAAGAGCTGTGAGGTGTGGCTGACACACCTGAAAGCTGTGCTACCATTCAACAAGACCTGGACAGACTGGAGAGTTCAGCAGGGAGGAATCTGACAAGATTTAATAAGAGCAAGTGTAGAGTCTTGCACCTAGGGAGGAATAATTACATACATCAGCACTGCTTAGGTAGAGACTTACCTGCTGGAAAGGAGCTCTGCAGAGAAGTGCTGGGGTGTCCTTATGGCCAGGGCCAATGGTCTCCTAGGGTGCACCCTCAGGTGTGTCCAGGTGGTCAAGGAAGGTGATCCTCTTCCTGTACTCTGCTCTGTTGTCCAGTTCAAAACATTTAGAACATTGCGTCCAGTTCAAAAAAGAGAGGGATCTCCTAGGAGTCCAGAGGAGGACCACATAGATGATTAAAGGCCTGAAGCATATCCCACATGAGGAAAGGCTGAGTAACCTGGGTCTGTTCAGCATGGGGAAAAGAAGACTGAGAGGGGAATCTGATTAATGTTTTTAAGTATCTACAGGGAAGTAGGAGACAAATGGATGAGGCCAGGCTCTTCTTGGCAGTGCATAGCGATAGGATAAGAAGAAACTGCCTAAACCTTGAACATAGAAGTTCCATACGAACATGCAGAATAACTTATTTACAGTAAGGGAGACAGAGCACTGTAGCAGGTTGCCCAGAGTTTGTGGAGTCTCCTGCTATGCAGATGTTCAAGACCTGGCTGCATGCCTACCTGTGTGACCTATTGCAATCTATTTGCTTTAGCACGAAGGTCAGACTCAGTGATCTCTTGAGGTCTCCCCCTCCAGCCCCTGCAATTCTGTGATGTCTAAACTTTTCCAGAGAGTACCAAAAAGCAAGGAAGAAAGTATTTACTTTTTTTTTTTGATAGAAGGTAAAACAGTGCCACCCACTGCTCTTCCAGTGAGAGCTTGGAAGAAGAGAGCTTGCCCTCTGAGAGCTGCAGAAAGGTCAACTTGCCCTTTTGCAATCACTTAACAGCCCAGCTAATCCTAAGCCTTCCCTTCTGCCTGCTCTCCAACACTGTGCTCTTCTACAAGGTTACGCATTTACAGAAATATTTCAACCACTAGTAAAGCTGCACAGAGGAAAACCTCCCTTTTAAGAGCATGTTCTATTATAGCTGAAATTCTGCGTCATCCTTTCATTACACCAGAAATCAATCTCCATACACCACTACTTTTCAACTAGGCCCCAAGTCATTCTTTAATATCAATATGCCTACCCAACATTTCATGTTCCTTTCTAGCGTGGAATAAGCACGTTTTGATTCCAAAGTTCAGCAGTAATCTGAATTAGTAATACTCGAGCCTTGGTAAATTAAAAAAAAAGCATTCAAGGATAGCTCAAGCTAAAGGGAAAACAGATTCCAAATAATGTGCAAGTCCTCTGCATTTCTTGAGGTGACAGCATTATGATGCATATGCATGTTCCTAACAGGATCTTTGTAGGGAAGCAGGTTTCATCATGTTTGTACTACTTCCTGATAAATACCTAAAATTTCACTTGATGTGTACCTAAGTGCCAATCATTCACTCTTAAGAAACACTTCTTATTCTAAGTTCAGTTATTCTTTAAATGAGTAAGCACTGAAGAGCTTTTTTTTTTTCCCCCCCAGGCACAAATTAGCAAATTTCCACTGGTCCTGAACACCAAGACAGAAGTTAACAGCTAAAGTAACCAGTCAATTGAATAAACTCATATTTTGCTACAGTGGTTCTACACAGAAGTATAGATCTGTTGAAAGAAGGTATTTGTGTGACTTTGATACAATATTCTTTTAATAGTAGTTGTACAAGAGACAAATGTATTCTAGACATTTTTTCATTGTACAGTATAATACATTTAAAATTAAGAAATAATTCTCAAACATAATGAAGTTTGTATACTGTATTTGCTAGACATATTTGGCTAAGAACAAGGCATATTCTAGCCCATGTTTCAGAGTTACAATGAAGTTCAGGTACATGAACAGGAATATAGTTTAATGATTTATAACTCTTTTGGTCTATTTAAGAGAAAACCAACCAACTGAAGCAGAACTTCATCATTAAAGCCTTTCACACTACCATCTTCAACAATATCATATAATGGCGTACTGTCGGTTCCCCAGCAGATATTCTTCCGAGAGTTTTTCTGAATTGTTTCTGCAGTTAATGCTAAAGTATTTAACTGGTAACAAAAGAAAGCAAAATATTTTCCATCTGTCACTACAGCCTGTGATACAAAAGGACGAGTCACATCTGCTTCATTCCAGAATCCTATCAAAAAATAAAAAGCACTGGTTATAGGGTTCAGTTGTCATAGCATACACATCTAAATCCTACTTCTGAAATACAGAAAAAGAGTACCTGAAACTAAAAAGATAAAACACAGCCACTAGTTAAAACTTTTTCCAAGATCAGAGATATCAGAGACATACTAGCATAACTGGGTTCTGTATATAGCTCCATTTAAGACCTGGACACCAATCACAACGTTAACACAAGCTGAATATTTAAAACCAAGTGACTTTCTGAAGTTCCCTATGTATGTTATTAACACATCCAAGGCCTGCAAATGATCTGAGTGGAAATGGCTTGCCTATTCCACAGTTCACAGAGCAACGAACAGTTGTTCAAAATAGAAGCATGCATGTATACGTATAATTTTATAAACTTCTCAGACAACATCAAGAATGTTATGACAATATGAATTAATACTTTAAATAATCTATTGCAAATCAGCAGTCAAAAATGCTGTTACATAGTTATGTCTATCTGCCAGCACACAAGGTGACATTTTTGAAAGATATTCAACACATTGCCTCACAATCGAACCTACAAACTACACGTATCTTTTAGTAATACTAACTGAATTATATTTACATGAGTTAAGTTCTTCCCTACTTCTCTGGCTCAGTGTTAAAATATGAATACAGTATCGTGAATGTCATACTGAATGTACTGAGCACATCATACTTCCAACAGAAGACAGCTTTCCTTATGTAAACATGGTACTAAATATCATATTTGCATACTGGAACATATAATATTGGCAACTGCGAAGCCAAGAACTAACATGTTTTCTTCACTCTTCATCTCTTTACTTCCCCTTCCTCAACAGACTCAGGACATTTCTTTCCATCATTCCCTCACTCTTCTCAGTTTCATTAATGGAGTATCTGAGAGTAAGAAACCTTCTTTCACTAGAACAGCAGATCACAATTCAAAAGATTTTCAGGGAGAGGTTCAAATTCAACTTGAACACACTACCAGTATTTGACAAAAGAATCACCAACTGACAAAAAACCTGTAATGAAATGTTCCTGTTTAAGATATTTTTTTTTCCTTCTTCAAGGAAAAAATTTCGAAGGGCTCCTCTCTTTATTTCAAATCAAGAAGTGAGCTGCAAATAACTATTATTAATTGATTCTTCGGTACTTCTCATTTTCACTCTTGCCAACAGCAGATGGCAAGTAAAGCACAGTGAAAGAGTACTTGAATGCTTCAAACTACCTGGCAAGAATTTGAAAGAGATCTTAATTTCAGCTTCAGTTTCTTGAACAGCATAAAATTTCAAAGTGAAATTACTATTACACTAACGACATTTATTCTCCAAAATACTAACTGTATAATTCTTCATAATAGAATCCTAAAAAAAAAAACACAAAACCCACAGCAGAGAAAGATTATTGTGTATGAAGTGCCAAATAACAATGTGCTACCTCTATTGTAGCAGGTACATGAGGTCAGTCTCTTATTTTTATATTGTTACTATACATGTTTTTTAGATTAGCAGCATCTCAGAGGACAAAAAATGCAAAATGCTTTCTGGAGAAAGAAGCAAGCAGAAAATTCATCTATCCATCCATGTATTCTCAGATGCCTTTTCTGTTTGTTTTCATACAAACAGGAATAAAATACCACAGTGATTGTCTTACCTTGATACATTGCTTGTGCTGCTGTCCAAGCAAAGAGACTTGCAATACCATTAGCTCGATAAACAACTTCAATCTGATCCTCAAGATTTGCTACTTTAAACCTCTGCCTATTCAGTTTATCAGGAATGAGATGACACTGGGTGTGGCCATAGCAGCATGGATCTGCTACCTTTGATCCTGTGTCCACCAAAAGAAAAAAGAAATTACAACTGAGTAAGAGAATGCTCTTTATAATCCAAAACAAACAAACAATCCACAATTCTTCACCATCAAAGCCCAAATCTCAGAAATTAAAACCTCTACGATAAATCTACACAAATGTTGACATTCTTCCTTTAGTGAGAACTGAGTGCTTGCCCAATTGCAAAAGTTCACATAATAAAATATCTCTGAAGGATATGTACCAATACAAAGCAAGTTTTTCTGATGAATTTCTATTCAACTCAACTCCTTTAAACAAATCCTGAAACAAAGTACAATATGTACAAGAAGATGCTATTCCTCATTACATATGGCTCTATCTATTGAGATTTGTATAGTATATTATATAGTATATATAATATTTAGTATATATATAGTATTTGTATAGTATATTATATAGTAATATGTATTGTCATACATCATAATATCAATATATAAATAGATAGCTCTCTCTCTACTGAAAGAAGGTAAAAGGTCAGGTGGAATGTTTTTGGGAGAGACTGTTGTTTTGTTTTGTTTTTTTTACATAGAAAAAAGCAGCTAACATTTCATGACCAAGAACTCTTACCTATAAATACCTTGTTTTCATACTGTTTTTTGAACAATGGCAGTTTGGATGGTTTGTGATCAATAACAGGAACATCTCCAAGATCTGACTCCAGTGGCACAATCTTAAAGAAAACAGAAGAAAACAGCCATTACATAACCCATGTTTCTGATATCAGGAAGAATACAGAGTTTTCTGGTCAAGCACAACAAGGTGAAATTCCTGCCTACAGACACTATATATAACTTACTGAAAATATTTTTGCAACAGAACTTCATGCCTTAAAGAAAATGCTAGTACATTCATGTTATGTTCATATCTGAATTTTCTGTAAAATTCAAATACTCTTGTATGAAATAGTACCAACAACATATACAAAAATAGTTCTAGCAGCAGTCAAACTAACTCGAAGCAGAAGAGTGAACTTATTCTCACTGCCGTTCATTATGAAACATTTCAAGGGGTGCTAGGTAAATTAAAAAGCATAGGTGTCCATGCATAACACTGTATCACAAAACATATCCATTAATATTTAAAAACTAACGATGTAATCACTGTAACTGCTGAAGCCACACAAGCTTGTGTGTTCCTACTATTTATTAATGAGTTTATTCTCAGAAAATCTTGTCAGAATTACAGCATTTAACTGATTCCATTTATTAGCATTAGTGGGACTTGGCTGTACTGGGAGTACAGGCAGTAATCAACCACAAATGCAGGTGCTATAGCAAGCAGCTATACTTCCTACATCACATATTTGTATCAGTTCTGGCACAAATACTTGTCTAAAAAGCTGTGTGTATTGAAACATTTGACAGTAATACCTAAGCAAACTATGCAATCATGTAGGCAAAGAGTTTTACAAATAATTTACAGAAAGCGGAGCACAGTTTTAAGTGTGATGGAAAGGGAGTAATAGATCCTTACAGGCTACATAATTAGCACTCTGTGAACATAAAGGAAAAGTGTCAGAATACTGAATCACCTTCCATAATACTCAGAATTTCAAAAATCAACTGTTAAGCTCTGTTACTAGATACCTGCTCTCATTCTTTCATTTTCATTTTTCTCATCATCTTATTTATTCTCCTTCACTGATAAAATGACCTTCCTCATCACATTCCTTATTTCTGACTCCACGTACTGGCAACCATAAAACTTAAAAACAACTAGCTAATGGTAACAATGTATTTAAAGCACAAGAATGATCAATATTAAGTTCAGAAGGCTTTCTCAATAACTACACAACATTTATTTACACTGCAAGCCATAAGAGTGGTAAGACACAGAAATATACTATGTAATTGATTAACCAGGTCTTGCACATGCTGCACCACATACTACTGCACAGCTTCAGCAACAGAAATGTAAATGAAAATACACATTATTAACTAGCTGTTGAAAATAGTCACACCTCTGGAAGCTGCTTTGGTACACGGATCTGGAGGTGCGGCTTATCATCTATCTGAAATCGCACAGGATCGACTCTACCTTTTCGATGTCCATGAACAACAACTTCCTCACCATGATGCCAGTAATAGTTAACCTCAGGATTTAGGTCTGAAACAGAACAAAGGAGCAGAGGCAAACAGAGATCACATACTTGTATTTTAAACCCAGCAACAAAGCAATAAACCGTACAGGACAGCAGCGATGAGATCAATAGCAATGCTCAATACACTGCACCTGTGACACTCCTGCAGAGTTCACAGCCCTGCCCAGGAAGCCCGCATCCCTCTCCCACCACCAACCCCCACTCCGCACCCAGAGAGGAGGCAGCCAACAGCGGGTTGTGCTTGCACAGAAAGGCGGCAAGGGAGGAAACAAGCTGCGTGAGGAAAGGCGCGGGTGTGTGGTCCTGGTCACGGTAGAGGAACGGCCGCTTCTTGTTCTGATAGAAGCTCTCCTGCAGGAGAGCGTCGCACGCGAGGTCACGCAGCGCGCCCAGGCCCAGCTCTGCCGCCGCTTCGGCAGCGGGCTCCGTCGCTGTCGCGGCCCCAGGTGCCGCCGCTCGCGGCTCCATGGCCTCCGCAGCCCCCGATGCCGCAGGCCCGGCCGCTGCCGTTCCCTGCTCCAAGGCCTCCGCAGCCCCCGCCCCGGGCCCCGGTGCTTTCTCGACCGCCGGCGGCGCTCTGGGCGGCAGCCCCGGCACGAAGGCGGTCTTGGTGAAGCTCCGGTACCAGCGGTCGGCGTTGAGGGCGAAGGTCTGCGGGTAAACCATGTATTTGGGCCGCTGCAGCTTCCCGTAGAGCCGCAGCTTTTCCTCGATAGTGGCAGCCTCGTGCACCTTCTGATAGAAGAGCTCCAGGCGGCGCCGCCTGGCCGCCTTGCTCTTCGCCGTGTGGGACGCCACGATGGGGGGGTAGAGCGGGGCGGGAGCGGGCGGCGGCGGAGCGGCGGGGTCCTGCGAGAACCAGCAACGGCCGTGCCACAGCAGCCGCCGCCCTCTGCACGCCGCCATTTTGCAGAGCTGCGGGACAGCGGAAGGGCACGGCGCCCAGATGAACAGCTTGATTGGACGGCGGACACCACGTGAAAGAGACAGCCTCCAATCCGCGCGTTCCTGCGATAGAGCGAGGGGTGCCGGGAAAAAAAAATAGGGCGGGGTTTTAAAGCGAGTCACGCCGCCACGCGCCCGTCTCCAGGAAGGGCGGTGTGGTTCACGCGCATGCGCTTCGGTTTTCCCGCCGCCTTCGGGAAGTGGAACTACCACTCCCAGGAGGCACGGCGGGCAAAGGAGGGCACCTCGGTCCCGCCTCCGCCCTGCTTCCCTCAGACTTTACGAGATGGGTGGGATACTTGCAGAGACGCGAAGTCCTTGGCAGGATTAATATACTTATTACTTTCTGATTAAGGCATGAAATAAAATGAGATGTGTTACAACATGCAGCCAGTTTTCATATTATTCTAAGGTTTATGGCAGGGAAATGGATGTCTGTGAAACTGCCATCTTGATCCATCTAATGAGAGGATGCCTGCCTGCTATCCCTTCTTCGTCCATGCCTTCTGAAAGCAAAACAGTGATGTTGCCCACGTACTGCAATTTTTTGCCCTCTTTTGTTCAAGAAGGCCAGAGTTTGTGAGCTAACACAGTTTTGTGTCATGAGAAAATGTGTTCATCTTCAGCAATTAGAAAGTTCAGACTAAATGATAAATAATTTCTAAAATTTAAACAAAAAAAATATTTTTATCAGATCATTTTCTTCCTAGAAGTACTTAGGACAAAGAACTCTGTACAAACCAAGAAACAGCAGAAATGTGAGAAAACTTCCGACTGAATCTGAAAGCCTTGATATGTATGACTCCTTCCAGGACATGTGGAACACAGTTCAGCCTCATTTTATCTGTATATTCATGGCTGTCCAACCTTTTGGCTTGTCTGGGCCACATACACTACAACAATGAGCACTGTAACTGCTTGATAGAGCAAATACTTGGCTACAAAGCACTACTCTTAACAGCTACCACCATTAGCTGTTGTCTAGCTCCAGTTATTGGTAGCCAGATGGTTTGTGATAGATGCATACTGGACATGAGATTAAGACTCAGAAAGGAGTCAAATATTTGCCTAGCCAGTTTATTATAAGAGTTTTGGTTAGCTAGGTCTGAATGATGGGCCATTTAGGCAGCAGTGTCCCTCAGGAGACACAGGAAAGCCTGTTTTTTCCTTGACTGATAAAGGATACTGGCAAGATTTAGTCCCTTGTAATCACAGAAAAACACATAAACTTAGATTAAAAAAAAAAAAACAAAAAAAACCACCATTACAATTTCTAGATATTCCTAGAATCATAGGATTATAGAATAGTTTGGGTTGGAGGAAACCTTTAAGAACATCTTGTTCCAACCCCCTGCTATAGGCAAGGACACCTCCCTCTAAACCAGGTTGCTCAAAGCCCCATCCAGCCTGGCCGTGAATGCTTCCAAGGAGGGGGCATGGACAACCTCACTGGGCAACCTGTTCCAGTGTCTCACCACCCTCACAGTAAAGAATTTCTTCCTGATATCTAGTCTAAATCTACCCTCTTCCAGTTTAAAATCACTTCCCCTCATCCTGTCACTATACTCTTATAAAAAGTCCCTCCCCACCTTTCCTGTAGGCCCCCTGGAAGGCTGCTATAAGGTCCCCCAAGCCTTTTCTTCTCCAGGCTGGTAAGTGCCAACTCTCTCAGCCCGTCCTTATAGAGGAGGTGCACCAGCCCTCTGACCATCTTTGTGACCCTCCTCTGGACCTGCTCCAACAGCTCCGTGTCCTTCTTGTGTTGAGGCCCCCAGAACTGGATGCAGTACTCCAAATGAGGTCTCATGAGAGCAGAGTAGAAGGACAGAATCACCTCCCTTGACCTGCTGTTCACACTTCTCCTTATGCAACCCAGGATACAGTTGATTTTCTGGGCTGTAAGCCCACAGCACTGTCTCATGTTGACTCTTTCAACACTCCCAAATTCTTCTCCTCGGGGCTGTCCCAAGCTATTCTCTACACAACTTGTATTTGTGCTTGCAGATAGGTGACCAGACTGTACCTATTATTTTATACATCCATCCATCAGGATTACTTATTTTATGCTGCTCTTAAAAGTTTCTCCCATCATACTGTCAAATCAGAACTACCTTCTTGCAACTGTACAACACTGTGAACAAATTTTACATAGGATATTTTAAACCTTCAAAAGCACAATGCAGAATAAAAAAGAATTAAATGTGAATGATGAGGCAAGTGAATGTTTAAAGGATTTGTTTTTATTTTCCTTACTATTCAAAGGCTTTCGATGGTTCCTGCACTCTGATATGGACTACAGCTGTAGATAAGAGGTGTCAGGAAGAAGTGCTGTGCTTTAATATACACTAAAAATCCTTGATCTTCTGATGTTCTAGTCACAGGTCAACTTTATTTGCTTCCTGTACTTTGCACTATTATTCATCTTGATTTAGGAACTGCAAACCTATGGATAAAAAGGTCCAATAGACAGTGTGGTTAAAGATACTGGCATACTGTTCTGGCAGCTCCATATTAAGTTTTTGATTGTATGTTATCCAACCATTGATCTCCCTGTTCTGAAAAACAACTAACCATTAAAAAATGATTTATTTTCTTTCTTTACTGAAAGAACCACTCTGCAATATCAAAATTACCCTAAATTGATCTTTGTACTGGTTAAATGAATGCTTAAATGCATGGATGTCCAACCTTTTGGCTTGCCTGGGCTGCACTGAGTGAACAGAAATTGTCTTGGGCTACATATGCAAGGTCACTCTGAAATAATTTATTTCACTGGAAATTACAACTGATACAAAAAGCACAATAACACTATTTGATAGACCAAAATCTCAGCTACAAAACACCATAAGCTGTGCATTTTCACCTCCAATGAATAAGAGCCAGCATGTTATGCTCATAAATACTTGTGCCAGCAGAGGTGGCCTGCTATCACTGTCACCACTGCTGAAATGCACTACCAACAGCATCACTGTGCTCAGATCTGCTGACTGGTCTGCATAAACGTTCATAGGTGTTGATGAATGTCAATTGGTGCAGTTTTTTCTGCATGGTGGAATTCAGTGACAGACCTTTGCTTCATGCACACTTCCATGTCACTCATCATTCTGTAAGACTGCCCCCTCTGCTGTTGTCTATCATATGGTGACAAAATGTAATGGAATACTGGTGGGAAGGTTCAGCCTCTATTACCACACCACCAATCTGCCTTTCTTACTGTGCACCAATATAATAAAATTGAAGGCATTAATTTTTGAGAAGCCCTCACAAGATATATAATAAAGTTCATGTATGTAAGTTGCAAAACTTGTTTGGATCTTTAATGTTTTTTATTAAAAAAAAGAGAGAGAGAGAGAAAGAGAAAGAGAGAGAGAGAGAACAACAAAAGCACAGAACTACTGGGATATTTAACCTTGTTTTTGTGAAAGTGGTTCAGTGGCAGTGGCTGCAGTTCTTTGTTAGCTCCCTTAGTGAGTTCTCACAAATTTTTGATGAAATTTTACTCCTCTGGTACTTCATCCTTGAAAACAGTTGTTCACAAATGTACAGACTGCCAAAAAACAATGGTATGAATGAAGTGTGACTGTGAAGTGAGGAAGTTTTCCTCTAATAAGAGAGGGCTTATAAAAGTAAAGAGACATGGTCAGATTTTTGAGTTGAGTGTCTTGATCGCAACCCTGTGGATTCCATTTGAAAATTCCCAGGTTATGCACTTACGTCATCTGAAAATGGAGTTGCGAATTTAACAAAAAAAGGATGATTTTTTGGCAGTCTTGAAACCTGTTCTCCAATTCCTTTATCAAAACAGAAAGCACAGCTACACATTTTTTCGTTGTTCACAGGACTCTGTTCAGCCAGTGAATGCCAGGGCCGGGCCCGGCCACTTGGGGCAGAGCCTCAGTGGCAGCAGAGGCAGATGGCAGTGGGCAGTGCGCAGTCTGCAATGCTTGCTGGGCCAAGCTGCATGCTGGCTGCTGGTGAGACGTGCATGGTTAAACAGAACCTTAGAAAACTCATACGTCAAATGCTCAGTATAAATGCTTAAAGTGAACACTATAGCCTGTCATTAAATTTCGAAAACAGCCAAGAACAAAAACTGTCTCTCAGTTGCAAATTAATTGCAATTGGAGATTGTTAGAAGCCCAAAGGTAGCTCAGAAAACAATGCAACGAACCTTATCAAAGGTCCACTATTAGGTAAATGTTGTCTGAAAGGAACATTCATTGCCTGGTATGCAATAAACCAATCTTCCACACAGATATTAGATAATTTTTATGGCAAAGTATGGCAGGTTTGGGCACTAAGTGGTCTCCCACAAAGCTAGCCTACCCCAGGATTTTCATGATGCTTTTTTATACATATTCTTATCACTTGACCACTTCTCTTATACAGTCTTTGGCTAAAGTCAGTCACTTAAGATAGGGCTAATCTCCCTTCCTGCAAGTTACTCTAGTCATGCTATTTAACTTTTTTTTTTTTTCAAGATGCTCCTATCTTCAAAGACAAGTTTAATTGTCATGTTGTGATTAAGAACTCCTCTATTTAATCACTTTAGTAGTTTCAGGGATTGTCATCCCGACTTAGATAACAGTACATATTTGCTATATCTAAGGATACATATACAAAAATTTGTACAAAAATTAATTCCTGCTTGATTGACACTTCCCTTGTTCCCTAGCAATACAGATTAGACCAGTCTCTTTTTCTCTGAAGTTTTGTTATTAATATCAAGTAGCACTTAAACATACACTGTTATAACATACAAGCAGACAAATGCTAACATTATTAGAAATGCAGCTGCTGTGACTTTCCATAGTCATAAATTCAAATAAATCCATAAATATAATCGGGGAACCAGGAAGATGAGCACAAATCCAGAAACTCATTTAAACAGCAATCTGGTCTATCTGTTATATTATTTAATGAAACGTACTCTGATCCCATGGGTCTCCTGGTTTCCATGCACTTCCTTCAGTTTTCTTACTCATCCTAAGGCAATGGACGTGCATCACCCCAACTTAGTTCCTTCATTTCTT